ACCATATATGGGCAATTTAGACTGGCTTGACTGCCCGCCCAGCAGCTGGGGCCCAACGAGCCCGGATGAAGCTCGGGGAGGAAGGAGAGAGGTCAACAACAGCCATAAGGGGAGGGGGGAAAAATAGAGGGAGGTTTACCCAAGGTGTTAGTTTTATCAATGTTCTGTTTACAAGCTACATGTACCTCTTAATAAAGAAGTATTTATCTGACCCAAGCCTGGTTGCGTAAGAATGCTTCAGAACTGAGAGTTGGACATCGTGGACTTGACAAGCACCAACTGTGCCAGCGTTTACAAACTGGAGCCCTTCTGGCTGGTTGGTCTACAGCTCCCATTCTCCCCAGCCAGAAGCATGGGAGATACACAGAGGCGCCTTGGAGAAGGGGAATCAACACCAAGGTGCATAGTGCATTTAGAAACAATTGAGAAAAACGATGTTGTTTAAGGATTGCAACACCAAAGAAAGCAGCTGGACGAGGCTCTTACCCCCGGGGTAAAGGCTGGAGGCTGCAAGGGACCTGTGCTAATGCCACTGTGGATGGAGGAATCAAGATCAAGCTCTGAGAGGTCGCTGACTGAACGCAGAGATGTTACGCTGCTCATCATGGGGGCCATGGAGAAGAACATTTCTGCAGAGAAATTGTTGCGGGGGGTGGGGAGAGAGGGAACAGGTTTTAACATCTGCTAGTTCAGCCTGTCTTTCAAAGAGGACACTGGACACGTGGAGAGTGCAGAACATTTCTAGATTCTGAATTCCCAAACCAGGGGGTGGGTGTAGGTTCCTCACTCCTTGTGGATTTGTCAAACAGCAGAGAGAGACCTAAGTGGTGATTGTACCAAAGACGTCTGTTGCCCTGCCTAGCCCAGTCCTGCCTGCTCAGAAAATCACTTCCTCAAGACATGGTGAGAGCCAAGAACCAGGAAGGCAACTTCTGGCTGTATACAGCTGTCAACACAAGTTCCTAGTCCTCATGGTTATCAGCTATTTCCAGGATCAAAGGTAGTAGAACTCACACACTTCACTAACTCATGGTTGGCTTCGCTGGAGTTCATTAGGGAACCAGAATTGGTTGCGATTTGCCCAAGACACTATGCCATAAACCCCTGGTTTTCTACTGGCACTCAAGATTTGCTACAGTGGAAAAATCTTCAATGGCTTCTGATCTATACAAAAAGCATTCTTGGTTCAATTATTGTTTAAAATGTTATAGCTATTTATAACTGTATTTATATTTTAAAAGTTGTTAAGATTTTATCTTAACTCCTGCTTTGGTATCTTTTGCTTATTACCACTTATGCCTTTCCTGTGCTTTTGCACTATTGGCACTTACCCTCAAAGGGACTAGCATGTTGGGTATGTATGCAGGTAATTATTTCCAACAGGGCACTGAGTAATTTCTTTAACCTGTGTTATCAAATCCCAGAATCCTTAGTAAGAGCCAGGATGGGCAGGGAATTCTGGGAATTGATGCCCATCCTTTTAGAGAACATCCAGATGAGGAAAGGCTCCATGTGATTTTTAATTCAAAGGATGGTCTCCATAATTGGCTACTCGGGTCGTTTTTGATCAGGGGTGGCAGGAACCCAAGGCTTATTTCCCCAGAGGTTGGGGGGAAAGAGCTCCCTCTCTGAATCCAGAACAGAAAGCAGAGTGGGATAATTTCAGTTTGGTTGCCATGAAGCACAGGTAGGGAATTCTTTGCCCGTACTGCAGAAACAGGAACTGCAAGGGGAACAGTGAAGAAGGGAACCTAAAGGCTTGAAATAGGACATTGGAGAGAGTGGGGGATAAAGCAGGTGGGCCCAGTTCACACGTGGGTAGGCTGAGTTCGGGGGGGGGGGGAATTACGGAGCAGTTCTTCATTTTTAAACTTCAACATGCCCACTTTACAATTTATGCTATACTTTCTGTTGGCTTCCTATTTGGGGAATCCAGAGTCTGGAAATATTCTGCAGACTCCAGGGCTGGAGGTTGCCCATCCCTGTGATAAATCTTTGGATGCAAAACCCTTTCTCATCCCTCAATCAGGAAGTGCGGATGAGGGACGAGGGGTGTGCAAAACGCTTTGAGCGCTTGACGATCCCATTTCGACTCCCAGACAGGGTGTTCCAACCATACTAGAAGGGGTCCAACCAATCCTGGAAGAATTCAAGCTCAAAAACATCCATTTCAGGCTCAAAGTCTCCTTGGGAGGCTGGAACAGTTGTTTGGGGCTTAAAATAGGGTGTTTTGGATTTAAAACCTTTTGTATTCCCCCTTCTAAAGGCTGACTTTTCCCCAGCCACAGCTGTGAAGGGCAAAGTACAAGCGCTCTTGGGGGAACACTGCTCAGACCTAAAGGGGGGGACAGGTGGGCCGTCCTGCAAAGTTTGTTAACTGTTGCATGTAGACCTGCAACAGTTTAATGCGCTGGTGGCCATTTTCATAGCCTCCCTATGAAAAGCACTGGGGAGGGGGATGGCTGGGACCCTCCCACCCAAGAAGGGGGGAGAAGGTGCTGAAGGGGGCCACCAGATCTTGAGAACCAAAATATCCCAAATCACTTGGACAGGACTGCAGAGGGTTCTCCTTGCTTCTTCCTGATCCTGGGGGAAGTCTGGGACAGCAAAGGAGAGGTGGGTCTCCCTAGGGCTCAAAGCCTCTGTTCCCAGGAATCACCTCCATTCTCTACTCCAGCAGCAGCCGCCAACCCCTCCAGACGTGCAGTAGCTGATCCCAACCCTGAATGCAGCTGCTGGCTAAGGTCTTGCTCAATCAACTTCAGATCTTCCGAATCCAGAGGGCGGTTTTTGCTCAGCTGTTCCTGCAGAACGCCAGATTCTTTGCGGGGTGGGGGGAGAGGAGAGAAGAAAAAGGGTGAGGGAAGTTAACCTCCAAGAAGAGGAGAAATCTGGCATCGCAATACCTTTGAATCAGTCATTCAGAAGTTGAAGTTGCAGAGACAATAAAAAGGAAACAAAAAGACCAGAACACCTCATCCCAGCAATCAACACCCAGATAAGCAGGGATTAACACCAGACAAACAATCAGGCAGTGGTTGTTTTCTTGCAGACGTTTTGTTACCCGACTAGGTAACATCTATGAACACCAACTAGCAGTCAGAAGACACGCTGAAAACTCCTTAATCTCACAATACATGGACAGACTTATCCGCAATTTCAATAGGGAAACTGTCAGCATCTTAGAGCAGGCTAAATCCAAAAATGTGAGGGGATTCAGACAAGGCGGCCACCAACAGGCACATGGAGATAAACAAAGAGACAGTAAAAAGGAAACAGAAAGACCAGAACACCTCCTCA